ATGGCAACAACCTCAGTGTAATCTCGCAGTTAATCAATGTTAGCCAATTAGTTGGACCGATAATCCAGTATTGGATGCTAGTTCGCTTTTTCTTTGTCTTACTTGCTGTAATTCTGATTTCTTGCCCAGTACAAGAAATTTCTTTTCACCATATATAATTACTGTAGGCCTACTGTGTGCAATGAGGATAAACATACTATAGGCATCAGTTTGTCTACTGTTTGTCAAGTTATCACAAGTAAATATTTTTTGTTTCCATGGTAGGATTAGCAGGAACTTTTAACTTCTCACTATAGAATATTGACTTCTGATCAATGTCTGATCATTAGCACTATAACTGTTTTTCTTTTACTGAAGAACTCTATAGCCCAGTTTTACGTTACCATGGTGATTTATTTTAAATTAAGCGTGGTTGTCACTCTTTAAAATCTAAAAATTCAACCAATAAATTCGATAAAACTGGACATATACTTTAAGAGAAGAAAACTAAGGAAAAAAAGTATATTTGGGATTTGGGGATTTCCGTTCAAAAATCTAAAAATTCAACGAATAAATTTAATAAAACTGGACCTATACTTTAAGGAAAGAAAATGTAAAAAAAGAGTGTTATTTGGGATTTGGGGATTTCAACTTTAAAAATCTAAAAATTTAACCAATAAATTTCATTTTAAGGGAAGAAAATATGGAAAAAAAATGTATTGGGGATTTCCTCTCAAAAATATAAAAATTCAACCTATAAATTTGATAAAAGTAAAGAATATATGGAAAAAAAAATGTAATTGGGATTTGGGGATTTCCGTTCAATAATCTAAAAATTCAACCAATAAATTTCATAAAACTGTACATATACTTTAAGAGAAGAAAATTGAGGGAAAAAAGTGTTATCAGAATTTTATTCAAAATGAGAGTAAAATGAAGATGATATTCTTCGGAACACAGACTAATCTTTTCCCTAATCCTCCGTATAATGAGCGTTACCGTTCAAATCGCCCGGCCTAATACTCAATTATGTGTTTTTATCTTTCTTGCTTTTAGAATTTGTTTCGTCTTATCCCCAAGTTAAGCCGGCAGATTTATTTCTAATTTTCTCAGCTTTCTTTTCTTCTATCTTGCGTCTAATTTCAATATTTGTTTACGAGTTTCGCGAAACGATTCGTTAGATTAACTACATAAGTATCGCAGCAAATCGTCAAGGAGAATAAAAAAAGGAGACACATTTTTCAAACATGTTAAAATTCTTGGAGAAAATCTTCTTCAATGCGAGTTGGTATTTTATTCAGGATCTATTTTAACAAAGTTCCACAAAATGATTCCACATAAGTATCGCAGCAAATCGTCAAGGAGACACATTTTTAAAATCTTTGAGAAAATCTTTGAGAAAAGGAGTTGGTAATTTATTCACAATCAAGTATCGCAGCAAATTGTCAAGGAGACAAATTTTTGAAACATCTTAAAATTCTTTGAGAAGATTTTCTTGAATATGAGAAAGATTTTTAACACAAATTGACCATTTTTTATGATAAGAAAAAGAATTTAAACCCCTCCAAGTTGTTGGACACTTAAAGTAATTTGAAGATTTCAAGACTCTAGAATTTGTGATAAGATTCTGTATTAAAGTGATCTGCTGCTATTTAAAGGAAACATCCCATGTAAGAATTTCCTAACCAAGACTAAAAAGTTAGCATTTAAAGAAAACATCCCATTTATGAACATTCATTTGAAAAAATACCAGATTGTTGATATTTACCAACCTTGAACTCTGCTACAATTTCCTATCCTTTTTTGTTTTTTTGATATTTTTAGTCTCAATTGCAATCTAACAAGTTTTCTATCAAAGGCTCTCCCAATGTTGTTATTTTTAATAATGATACTCATCAAAAAGTTGACAGAAATACATTATAATCAGATTACCTTGACTAATCCCTTTGTTAATCCAGTTGAACTTCCTAATCCTGGCAATTCATCTCTTTATGCAGATCCCCATAAAGCCTATTATCTTTGACACTATTTGCAATGACAAATATAGATGCAGTAAATCTGCTGATGATCAATTTGTCATGTTTCGTTTCGTTTCGTTTCATAAATTGACTTTCTTTGATATCTAATCCTTCGTGAAAAAGTAAGAATGTTATTTGCATATTTAAGTAATAATCCCTTTAAGCTATTTTAGCAAATTTATTAGTTGTATTGTAAAGATTGGAGGGGTTTCCAACCTTTTTTTGTTTGCTTAAAGGGACAGATGCACCATTTTTTGACCAATCGTACCTTAGTCTCAGAAATAGGAATTTTTTAGCTAAGCCTATCAGTAATAGTGTTCACAGCTCACTGTCGAAATTTGAACCTTCAAATCCATGTGTGTCTAGAATTATCCACGTTTAAAAGTTAAAATGATGACTCGTCTTTTCTTGAGACACTGTGATATATAGAAAAGACATCTATAGAAATAGTGAGTAAAATTCCTAGTTTGAGATATTTTTAAAGGAATTATGTGATTTTCGTACATTTCCTGTACTTCTGAAAACTATTTACATATATTCAAGACTCAAATCAATGCCACATCTGTCCCTTTAATGAAGGGAAATTAAAGCATATTTTTTATACTTACAGCGTTAATATTTTATTTTATTAAAGGGTTCTATTTTAGAGTTAGGGGGACGTTTTTTTTTGTCTTATTTGCAACCTTTCTTTTTTGCCTAATAAGGGGAAATGATAACTTCTATTTTTATCTTTCTAACCTCTAGTCTGACGTCTGCGATAATTCCCATTTGTGTGAAGTCTGCACAGTTACTAATTGGCATATCACAATCCATCAAATTTTAACACAATTGGTGTGACAATCATGCCAAAATTGATGATTAGTGATAATGATTTATTTACATGATTAGATATTTTAGCAGGATTGGTCTCCATTGAACAGTGAAGTTTGAACCACATTGCCTTTCAAAGCAAAATATGCAAAAATCTCTTAATTTGAGTACATTAATAAGATTGAAAACCTATATTTTGGCAGGTTTTGCACTTTTTCAGCCTTATTCTTAAACCAATGCTGACTTTAAGGTGAAATTCAAAGCAAATCCAGCCAAAATATGTTATAGATGTGTAAATTTTCAGTTGAATTATAGATATTTTGGCAGAATTAGTCTTATGATGTTTTTGACAGATGCATTGATGAAAAATCCATCAAAATATTTCAAAATTCTTAATTCTCAATTGAGAATTGTTAAGTTGTAAAATCCACCAAAATATACTTAAAGTTACTAATTTTCTTATTAGAAGAAAAATATTTTGGCATGTATTGCTGTCAATTACCAGTGATACAAAGGTTGTGGTTGCCTTGTGGTAAAATCCACCAAAAAAAACTTAAAAGTCTCATTTTTCTGACCAGAAAGTAAACATTTTGGCAGGTTTTGTTATCAATACAGAAGAAAGTGGTTGGTTACTGAAGCAGACGACTTTAAGTGGGCGGAGCCAAATTGATTAAAGCATCAGCCAATCAGAGAGCTGGCTACCAAATCTGATCTAAACCGACACAAACTTCTTAGCTTTACTATAAAGTTCCATTCAATGGTCTTTTATGTTCAAAAGAATTTGATTTCAATTCAAAGCTTTGTAGAAAAACTGAACATAAAGCCAATTTTTTTGAGTGGATATTTGACAACAGAATAATTCATGTGTTGGAATAACTAGACATTATTCATTATTATTCAAAGTTTGTGAATTATTGCGAATAACTGGAAATAAACTGAATATTTTTGATCAATAATTATTATTCAAAGTTTAAGAATTTGATTTGGAATTTTGGAAGAATTGTTGGATTATTCTTATTCATTGTTCAAAGTTTGAGAATTTGAATTTGGAAAAACTGGACATAAACTGAATATTTTTGATCTATAATTATTATTCAAAGTTTAAGAATTGGATTTGGAATTTTGGAAGAATTGTTGGATTATTCTTATTCATTGTTATTCAATATTTGAGAATTTAACTTTAGAAAAACTAGATTACTAATTATTCGTAATATTTATTCAAAGTTTAAGAATTGGATTTGGAATTTTGGGCGAATTGTTGGATAATTCTTATTCATTATTCAAAGTTTGAGAATTTGAATTTGGAAAAACTGGACATAAAATGAATATTTTTGATCTATAATTATTATTCAAAGTTTAAGAATTGGATTTGGAATTGTGGACGAATTGTTGAATTATTCATTATTATTCAAAGTTTGAGAATTTGGATTGGAAAAACTGGACATAAAGTTTGGGTTTGTGATACAGTGCATGAAAGATTTTTAGAATTGGTGCCATTTGGAAATGATTGCAGGAATCTTGTCAAAGACTTTCAAAGACCTGCTTGACAATTTTGTTTAAAGTGCTGCACTTTCCAAGAACTTAATTTTACTGAATCAGTGTTTTTCATGCACTTACATTTCCATAGAACTCATTTTCAAAGAAGACTGTTTCTAAAGTGCTCAATTCAAAATAGAATTCTTTTCTAAAGTGCTTATTTTCAATAGAACTCAATTTTCTCAAGTGCTCCAATAGAACTCAATTCTCTAAAGTGCTTATTTCCAATAGTACTTAATTTCTAAAGTGCTCCTATAGAACTCAATTCTCTAAAGTGCTTATTTCCAATAGTACTTAATTTCTAAAGTGCTCCAATAGAACTCAATTTTCTAAAGTGCTCCAATAGAACTTAATTTCTAAAGTGCTCCAATAGAACTCAATTTTCTAAAGTGCTCCAATAGAACTCAATTCTCTAAAGTGCTTATTTCCAATAGTACTTAATTTCTAAAGTGCTCCAATAGAACTCAATTTTCTAAAGTGCTTATTTCCAATAGAACTCAATTTTCTAAAGTGCTCGTTTTCTGCAAGAATAACACAATAAATAACCTGAGAATATTCTTATAAAAAAATGAAGTTTGCAAAAAAAATGGCTTTAAAATGAATTTGCTCTTAATCATTGAAGTATGTGAGAAATTGAGAAATTAAGTTGTTTACAAAATGGATTATTTACGTTTACAGATGTCTGGATTTTTACGAAGTAAATATTTCTATTTTTTTTCTATTTTACGTGAATAATACGGCGAAGAATTTGATGTTTTTTAATAGCAAAGAAACATTATATGTCATGTAGACTGAGTTGATAAACTCAAGAACAGAATGACATTAGGTGTTTCAGAAGAGTGACCATATGCTACTCTGATCGATTTTCGATTTTTGCCAACACTTGGATTAAGGCATTGTAGTTGTAATGTAGACAAATGAAAGCATGCCTATATAATATTAATATTAGCTAAGTGGACTCTCTGAAATTTCAGCCATGTTGCTGTGCACAAAATGTTGCTGTGATCAAAATTATCTGTTTAATGTGGCCATCTTTGCTTCTTATTTAATGCGTTCAATGTGTCAATTTTTGCCAATAATAATTGTGTTCATCATGGCCAATTTGGCCATATTTGATATGTTTATTGTGGCCATCTTCTCTTCCGAAATTTCCTATATGAAATGTGTTCATTGTGGCCATCTTGTATTTAATATTTCTTTTTTGCCATCTTGTATTTAATATCTGTTCATTGTGGCCATCTTGTCTTTAATAAGTATCCTTACATTGTGGCCATCTTTGCTCACCATATAAGTACCCTTACATTGTGGCAATCTTTGCTCACCATATTATGTATTTCTTCACTGTGGCCATCTTTGTTCACCATATAAATACCCTGTGGCCAACTTTGCTCATCATTTGTTCGTTTTGTGTTTTTCAGATGCCAAATCGTTGCCGATACATTGTATAATAGAACAGATCAACGGTGTGGTGTCGTTTGACAATGTTTCTAGTCATTCCCCACTTCCCCCTACTCAAAACACTGTACAGTTAGACAGCTACGCCATTCTACCTAATTCAACGTTACTTCAGGACCTGGTGAAGACTGCCCTGATCAAGCTAGGCTACAGTTCTTCAGATACTCATAATGCTAAAGGTAATCAGGCTGAATTTTTTTTTTGATACTGGTAGCCATTGTACCCGTCACTTGGTCAGTGATGTTACAGAAATGACATATGACCTATTAAAGGGATTGTAAAGAAGTTTTCTAAAAAATTTTATGTGTATCGTTGACAATGATTGCATCAATTTACACCATTCCAATTTTCAATCAGACGTCTGTGGTTCCTCCAATTCCACTAAAACTAAACGTTTAATGATTTCACTAATTCCAAAGGGTGTTATAAGATATAAGCAGATTTTGTGCTAATGAAGTCATCAAACACTTAGTTTTAGTGGAATTGCAGGAATCACAGAAGTCTGATTGAAAATTGGAATGATGTAAATTGATGCTATCAGTGTCCCTGATACACATACAAAATTTAGAAAACCTCCTTACAATCAATTTAACTTAGAGAAACTCTTGAAGATTAAAAACTCAGGTGCAGAATGACATCAAGGGGCCGACTGTTCCCTAGTGACACATAATCATATGTTTTACATGGCAGAAGCTAACAAAATCCTTATTCCATTTTAGGTGCTATACAGATAAAGAATTGGAAGCCATTAGAGTTTGACTCAATCTGTGACAACAAGCACGCCACAATAGAAGATATTCTTGGCGAACTAACCAATGTAACCACGTTAAGGATTCGGTTATCAGCCCCAACCAAACAAACCACTACAGATGACGTGAAAGAGAAGCTACTTCAACTCTTGTTAACCCAGTCTCAAGCTTTGCTCAATGATTCTGGGTGCCCAATTGAAAAAGTGAGTCTTGCACACGATTCTGAACACTTCTCTGCTAATTTTGGCGCCACTGTCATGGCACAAGTTCCTGCAGGATCCTGTCTTGCAACAGGCTGTAGTATTAGACCCTTCAGACCACATACCAAAATTTTGATGTGTCTTTTGATCCACTTTCAAATATTAAGACTTTTGACAATAATTGGTTTTATTGTGGTCTGAATATTTAATACTGTTCAAGTTATCTCCCATGTAAATGAAGTCTAATATAGTGTTCTGAAACCTACCCAAATAAAATACACAAAATTATTTGCTTTAATTTGAAATCCTTTCTTACTTTTTAGAATATTTTAGCTTCTTTGTCAAAGGGAGAGAATATTTCTGAATGCTTGGCTGAAGGTCTGTCAGACGAAATGAGGGGTGCATTCGATATATGGTACAGGAACCAAATCAACAGTTCAAAAACTGTTCCTGCTCCACCCCGCTCTCCTCATTTGGAGGAAGTAAAAACACCTATCAAGAAAGAAATCAAAGAAGAAGTGCCATCTAGTCCAATGATTGAAAACGAACCACACGAATCAAGTCCAGCCTCATTTCGATCATATCTCTCGCATAAAACGCGGATACGGACCAGTTTTGATCCAGAATATGAAATTACACGTCTGCAAAATTGGTTCAAAGAAAATCAACATCCAACTCGAGATCAAATGATTGCCTACATGAATGAACTGAATGGTTTGGAATCACGAAAGGGACGACGACCTCTTGACCTCACCAATATTATTTATTGGTTTAAAAACGCTCGGGCTGCGCAGCGACGTGCTTGTAAAAGTTTAGACGACTCGTATGATAATGAAGATGAGGCTAGCATGAGTGCTAGCGGTGGAATTCCAAATGAAAATATTCCATATCTGCCCAATAAAAATGCAGTTTACATTATTCCCTTCCCATACAGACGACCAGCTTTTGGTTCCTTCGACAACAACGGAACGCCCCCTGGTGACGACGATCATGATGAACCATGTGACCTGTCAATCAACAAGAGAACAGATTGTCAAGACGATAATGTCAGACCGGAGGAAAGTCACGAGGAAAGCGTTTTTGAGAAAGACGAAGCAGTTACGAATGAGGATTCCACATGCAACGAAAATTCTCAGTCAGATAAAAAATATGCAAATATCCTTTACTCTAGTCAAACCCTCAACGGACTCCCAAAACAAGTTCCTAATATGAACGATTTGACGCAGTCGGAAAATAGTCAAGTGAACGGATGTGGAAATCGGAATAACAATGGGTCCATTTCCGACAGCGAAAATCAGGAAAATTGTTGCAGTCCAACACCAGCCAAACAAGACAATTTAAGTGACGATGATTCGTCTGATTCAGACAGTGTGACGTCGGACAGCGACGACAAAAATTCCAACCTAAAACGGGACTTGTTTGATTATTCTAGTCTAGGATATAATTCAGGAGTATCAACAGCTAATATGTCGCCTGCCAGTATCGCTGCCATGTCGCTGGCGCAGATGAGTCAGATGCCATCTGCTGGCGGCTTACATATTCCTCAGCTACCTCCTCATCTGGCCATGGCAGCTGCTGCCTACTATCCAATGAATGCAAGGTACTACATGCAGCATGCAGCCAACAGTTTGCAAAATTCTCAAGTCTCGCCGAGACCTCCCTCAAACAGCCATCGCGACCCCAGCAGTAACCATGGCAACGTCAATGGCAGTAGCAGCGACAGTCGTAAACGCAGGACCAGAGTCTTCATTGATCCTTTGACAGAGATTCCTCAGCTGGAGAGATGGTTTCAAGAGGATACGCACCCTTCGGCCTATATGATCGACAAATACTGTGAACAACTCAACAAGACAGATTATCGGCAAAAATTTCCTCGTTTGGAGTCCAAAAACATTCAGTTATGGTTTAAAAATCATCGAGCTAAAGTCAAACGTCAGCGATTGTCCTAGAAGTAGAAGAACTCATGTGCTAAATCATGTGTTAAGTCAAAATGTGCTCCATATGTGTTAAAAATGATGAACTTCATCAGTCATGTGTCAGAACAAATGCTGTTGGGACAAATGTGCTACAACACGTGTTTTACAATTGTGCTACATCATGTGTTTTACAAAATTATTTCATGTTACATGTGTTGGGACAAATGTGCTACAACATGTGTTTTACAAAATAATTACATGTTACATGTGTTGGGACAAATGTGCTAAATAAGAAGATGTGTTAGAATAAATGAGATCTATGTGACATTCAATGTGCTTCATTAAATATGTGTTAAAACTATGTGCTACATTGAACATGTGCTAAGATAAATGTGCTGTAAAAACACATCTATGATTCAGCTAAAAGTAAAACACTGTATCTGTACACGTGCATTGCCTGTAATTGAACAATTTTCATGTGTTGCAAATCCTGTGCTTATGGTCTTCTGCACATGATTGATGTGTGCTACACATGTTTTGAGATTTTTAAAACATGTGCTATGTGTTACGAAGAACACTGTGTTTGTAACAATTGTTAAGGCAAATTTAGTTCAACTTTTATTAGAACTAAGCCCAAAAATATATGCCTCGCCTAAAGGCTTTGAAACAGGTCATGACTGTTTTTAACAAAAGTGACTGGGTAAAAAAATGTCCAGCTGGTCAACAAGATTTCAGAATTTTCTGTTGAGCTTGATTAAGCTTGGGCTGTTATTAGCTCTTTTTCATTGTGCAATTGCTGAGGACTTCTAATGGGGTCACCCCCTTTAATATTGCATATTATCAAAATTATTATGGACAACAAGTTTAGCCAAAAGTTCCTGGGCCAATACTGTTTTATTAGTGCATTATTGTTTTTTTGACGATATTTTTTTTTGTTTTTTGTTGTTGTTGAACTCATATGAAAGGCCTACGCAATGATTCCTTTCTAAAAACTGTGCAATTCTGTTTTCATAATATCTATTTCAATATAGAAGGTGCTGAAATTTTAAATGTGGATGGTTCGTTTCATTTTTTCCTTTGAGTTATGTCACTCATTCTTGATCTGACAATGTTTTAAAAGCGTGTTCACTACTTTAGCCAATCAATTGATGTCCCCATTGATATCTGAACAACAATTTGATTTAAATATTAGTGTATCAGACATAGAATGAGTGAAGCAGCCCACAGAAAATAAATGAAACAAAATGAGTTGGTCCAAATCAGCTCAAGACAATTTGAAGTAAAATAAAAATTCGAGATCCACAACTCTGCTACGCATTAAGTTTTTTTCTTTCCAAAAATCAGGACGACAAATTTGACTCGTGTAATTTATAACCACATGGGGCCTTGTTTTTATTGTGCAATTTACATCATATTTCTTGTTTTTTGTTAAATATACTGTAAATTTACTGTAAAAAGATACAAAACACTGTAAATTTACTGTTATTATTTACAGAATAATGTAAATTTACTGTAAAAAGTTTCAGAAAAATGTAAATTTACTGTAATCATTTACAGAATACTGTAAATTTACTGCAAAAAGATACAGAATATTGCAAATTTACTGTAATAATTTTCAAAATACTGTAAATTTACTGCAGAAAGATACAAAACACTGTAAATTTACTGTTATTGCAATAACAGAGGAAACTCTCAGTTTACAGTAAATTTATACTGGCTTGAAATTGTGAATTCTGTAAATTTACTGCAATTAAATACAGAAACAGAGTGTCAAAATTTGACTGCAAATTTACATACATTATTAAGCAGTTGTCAAAATATTTGTCAAAAGTTTAGTATTTATATTTAAGTATTAAAAATATACTCAATTGTACGCAAACTATATCTCACTTTGTATATTAATTTTTGTAAATTTGAACCCCTTCTCAATGCTAGACAAATACTTCTGTGGAAAATTTTCCTTTTTTTCATGTCTCAAACTTAGTCTGTCTCCATTGTGCTAAAATATTTAAGTGCAATTTGAATAATTGCATTGCTAGATTCATCTGTTTAAAGTGCTGTTTTAAGGTTTTATTAATTTGATTGGTAAGTGCATTTTTGACTAAGTGCATATTGACACTTTTGCATCTGTTTTAAGTGCTGTTAAAAGGGTAATTTTCTATCATATCATTTTCCTTAGCCAAAATTTTAAAATTAAGTTTAAACGAAGATGCCCAAAATCGAAGACCCTAGGTTTTTGTTAAGAAATTTCCACTTTTTGATACTAATTTAAGCTTTAAGCTTTTGTAAATTGACAAAAAAGCTGAATTTGAGCTCATTTAAGTGTTACTTACAGTTGCCAAAGACCCAAAATTCAGTGCTTTTTTTAACAAACCAAAAATAATTCAGTCATTTTCATACATTTGAGCATAATAACACTTTCCATAAAAGTTTAAAAATTTGCAAGAATTAATAAAAATGCATAATTAGCCAAAAAAAAAGCACTTTTCATAATATATTTTCACATAATGTACTTTGAACTTCCTCAAATCATAATGATCCATAATTATACCATAATGATTATAAAAGGCGCTGTCTGTTAATAATGAAAATAATAATAATTGATAATGAATAGAAATATTATTAAATAATGATCCATAATAACTTTCAATTAATAATGCTTCAGATGTCAAAGTATAGGTTTGTCAATAATGTCAATTAATATTTTATTATGAAAATAATAATGAATAATTATTAAATATGTCCATTATTTTTTATAATGAAAATAATAATCCAGAATTTTTCATCAAGATAAGGCTAATAATGACTCAGAAGAATCATAATAAACTGATTAATTTTCATTCATAATAGTCCATAATGTCAGAAAATATAGTAACATTTTGTTCAAAATTATGGAATCATAATTATCCAGAATAATGATCAATAAAATATTGAACCCAGAATTTTGTCTCTTTGATATTTAAAATCATAATAATTCATAATATATCTTTAATTTATAGCATTATTTTGATATTGTTTCAGTCATAATAATAATCCATAATAAGGAAAATAATAATTCAGACTTGTTGCATCAAGGGAGAGCTTGTGAAAACTCAAAATACTCTTGAGTGAGCGAGAAGAAATCGTTGCAATCATTATTTACTAGTCAAGTATTAAAGTTACGATATTGCATATTATTATTATTATTATTTTTTGTTTTGTATAGCCTTTGTCTTATTTTCAATATTTCTTCATGAATATCTGCTTGGTTACCTTATGGAAACACCTGATTGCATTCTGTGATTGGAATTTTCAACCCATATTTGTATGTCTAATGACAGCCTTTGTTTTTCAAGTCTGAGGGTAGCCCAAATCTAAGGGTTCCCCAAGTCTCTGAAAAAGCCCAAATTCATGAGTTCCTTAAGTCTGTGGGTAACCTAAGTCTGTGGGTAACCTAAGTCTGTGGGTAGCTATTTATGAACAAATGGTGGAAATTGAACATTTTTGTTGTAACCTAATACTTCAATATAATTCCTTCAACTTCTGTTATTTTCTGTCTTTGAATGGAACCTTTCCTGTAATGTGCCTGACTTTCTGATATTTCAAGAGTGGAATTGCAGGAAATTTGGGAATTTTTTAGAATTTTGGCAAATGACAACCAATATGACAGTGTGCAATGATGGAATTTTTTAACTTTCCATTTAAAGTAATATGCAATATCAATTACCTTGAGATTAGAGAATACAAAAGAAATCTACTTTGTGTGCAATGAGGTAAATTCTACCAAAACAATACCTGAGCCAACACTTTTGTGATTTCAACTGTATAAGGGTCTTGGACACATTACAGGAAATGGATTATTTGTATTATGTTAAATGCTACAGGGTTTCCACGAAGTTCAAGTCAACTTCACATTTCTATGTTTATATAAGTCAAGGGCAATAACTCTTGAGTATACCATAGTTGTAAATTAATATTACATAATATGTAGCCTATACACACTCATAATAATTAAAAAAATACTACAAATTTATTTTTGTCTTTTGCCTGATGATCCTTTCTCCCAGTGTACATAAATCTACAGGTTTTTGTTCTTTGGCCTGTACAGCTCCAAATTTACCCAGAATTCTAAGAAGAAATTGAAAAACGTTTTGAATTTTTCTATATTTTATTAAAAAACAATTCTTAAAAATCAAAATGTAAACATATAATTAGTAAAAATTACAACTTTATTCATTTTGTTCAGTTTTTTTCTGTGGGCTAACTCACTCATTCTAGATCCGACTTGCTCTTTCTCCATATTAAAATCAATAATGATCATGCTAACCAATCAAAACAGTTGTTGGGAGTTGGCTTTCATATTAATATCAAAAGATTGATTGCCTCACAAGAAAATTATGTAAACTTGTCACCTTCACAATGTCATATACCTTGACTGCAATAGCCATCACAGAAAACAGCGATTTGATTGGATCGTATGACAGCCAATCAGAGCCCTCGACTTAAAGACCATTACTATTATGGCCGATTCTTTTCAGACTTTCTGTCAAGGGCTCTGATAGGCTGTATACGCTAATGTACGATCCAATCAAATTGCAGCATTTACAATTTCTGTAATATAAGAAAGATGCCTATTACAGTCAAGGTATAAGACATTGTGAAGATTGAGTAAGGGTTGATTATGTACAATGAAAAGTTAAATTATTCTACTATATTCAAATGAAATATTTTACAATCTTTATTCTTGCTTTTATTGAACATTAGTGAGGTACAAATGGTGTGCTCAAAATCTGTCAAATTAAGCTCATAAATCGAGCTTTTTGAGCATGCACCTTGAATATGGTATAAAATGAGATATATATGTTGTATATGATTATAATGATATTTCTTTAAAAAGATATCCCCATTGTCCACTGAAGCACTATAGTTCTCCTTTTCCATTCAAAATTAACTACCATTGTTCTGTAAATCTGATGCCAATTTAATTGTATAAGAGCCAGGTGTATGGTTTTATTTCTGAAAGGGGATATGCATAGCTGGAATTGAGCTCTATGAGCTGAGAAGACTTCCCTTTGAAATCCTCAAAAGATATCCTTCTTGGCCACTCCCATTTTTGGACACACCTCTTCCTTGGCTTCACCCACATGCTTCCTTCTCTTGTTGGCTCCTCTCATAGACCCCCCACCCCCACTCCTCTTGTCCTCAACAAGCTGCAGGAGTCATAAATTTAACAATATAAGTACATTTTTCATCTTCATTTATAGACAATGGTAGATCTTGTAGACCGCAGAAAAAACGGATCTGGAAAAACAAACATCAAATTATATAGTCTTGATTATTTAGACGCTCAAAAAAAACATCAAAATGGATTTTAATTCTTTCTCTTTTTAATGCACAATTTCAGGGACATTTCTTACTCGTATGCCAAAGTTCAATACTTGAAAACTAGCTGTCCTGATGAGGACTGTATATCCAAAACATTTGCTAGAAGCATGAGGTCATAGATGAGGCACTGGTCAAGCACACCATATTTCATCAAATTTTATAGCTACCTTAGTGCTTCTTGAAACGCCTTCAGGACACAGACGGTTGTCACCATTCTTCATTAAAAGAGAGTAATCTCCCTTGACCTGTTTCAACCATTGAGGTGTTTTGCCCAGATTGAAGGTTGCCTGAGGAAAATCCACTTGAGTCACGGATACAAAAGGACAGATCTTGTATTCGTATATCGTCTTTTCTAGAGTAAAACACTGGGAACTGAGCTTAAAGAACACATTTTCTGGACCGTAGGCCTGGAATTATAAAAGACAGAAGTGGTTACATAGAAGGTTAAATAGCAGGCACAGATGGTTATATAGCCAGGTTAAATGGTGACATAGCAGGCACAGATGGTTACATAGCAAGGTTAAATGGTGACATAGCAGGCACAGATGGTTACATAGCAAGGTTAAATGGTTACAGGGCAGGCACAGATGGTTACATAGCAAGGTTAAATGGTTACAGGGCAGGCACAGATGGTTACATTGCCAGGTTAAATGGTTACAAGGCAGGCTTAGACGGTTACATTACAGGTATAAAAAAGGAATTGAGTCCTGCTTTTCTGCAACTGATTGGGATAATGAGATTTTCAACTCTTGAGGGACCTTTAACCAGCACAGCCTGTAGCACACAGGGCCTCGGTTTATTGTCCCATCCGAAGAAATAGACACTTTTTACTTGTCAGCCCTGCGACCTGCATCACTGACAGGGGGAAACTGGGTTGAAAAATCTGAAGGTAGTGTCTCCGCCTATGCACGGGAGCAAATATCTTACCTACTGTTTCACCCACACATTTCCAAAATTTGGGAAAAATCAAATCAAATTGCTTACCGATCTGACAGTAGCTTTTTTCCCCGCCTCCAAATAACTCAATTTCAACTTAGTACCAATTCTCCTGACCCTTTCACTTTGAGCTTTGACCTCTAACCCTTTCTGACAGCGATTCTGACACGGCGTTTGGAAGACTGAATACTTCTTCAAAAATATTTTATCTGGAATTTAATGGAAAGAAGTTATGGTGGCTTGCCCGAATTTCTCAGAAGTGTGCAATGAGGGAAATTTTGCAATGACAGCAGCATATTAGTATAATTTTCAACTGTTAAAGAATCTATAGTGTTGCATAGCAACCAGGCTTTTTTTACGTGTCTGCTCCAAATTCTCGAAAACTTATTGTTTCCCTGGTAAATCAAGATGGCCGTACCTAAGATAATGTAAATGGCGGGGACCATGTGACCAGCGTATTCATCGCTACCATCACAACAATCACATATCCCATCATTCACTTTACTTCCTGTTATTAATACTGCTTCTTCATTTGGAATCTGATATTTACAATAAAATCTGAAAAGAGACGCTATGAAGTTTTACACCATGCAGTGTGCAGTGAGTAAAATTTTTCCATGAGAGATACTCCTTTGATTGTTGCTTGTGTATATATTTACAAAACCAACCATATGTAAAAGAGTATTGACTGGCTGGTTTGAAAGTCATGTGACATCATGAATACTGATTACCTCTGTGAGATTTATCTGTAACAGTGAAACATGGTAGTTATATGTTTTGGACTCTATAGCTCCAATGAATTAAAAAGACTACGTACTTGGAATGGGGACAAGCATTGGTACCTGGTTCATCAGTAGAATCAGGACAATCACAAAAATCATCGTTCACCTGAGAGAAGTCTATCTTTATCTGAAATAAAGGGAGTTTTACACCCTTCTGAACAACAGTACCGCTACGATACAGGCTTTGACAATTTAAGACAAAAAAGCTTGTTATCGTTGGAAAAGCTCAGTTGGTAGCGAGTTGGATTGTCGTCTGCTAAGACAGTGGAAAAGCTCAGTTGGTAGCGAGTTGGATTGTCGTCTGCTAGGACAGTGGAATAGCTCAGTCAGTAGTGAGTTGGATTGTCGTCTGCTAGGACAGTGGAATAGCTCAGTTGGTAGCGAGTTGGATTGTTGTCTGCTAGGACAGTGGAATAACTCAGTCGGTAGCGGGTTGGATTGTCGTCTGCTAGGACAGGGGAATAACTCTGATGTCAGTGCATCTGGGAGGCTGCCTTATACAGATAAATTAATTGATCACCTTATCCTGAAGACAAGTAAAAGAACCATTTGCATCTGGACGGTAAAATTTTTCATCTTTTCTATGTACACCATTTAATAATGCTTTAGATTCTTGTTGCTTTTGCATTGTCTCTTCCGCCATTTTTAATTTTTCCTTGAAAACTTCTTCATCGTCGATGTCACTCAGTTGCTTAATGTTTAGGAATTCTTCGTCTGCTCGCAGGCGATTCCATATCGACAATTTGCGCATGGAAAAGAACTGCAGGAAAAAGAAGCATAGCGCTATAAAGACCAAGAGTAGCAGAGTCTGGTACTTTCGGCGCCGAAACAATCTTCTAAAAAAGCATGTTTTAATTTTCATTTCTGACAGATCTAAGGCATTCTTCATCCTTTTTCTGCAATAAAAAAAAGAAAAGTTGTCATTTTGATTTGAACCTTGCAGTTCTCTATTTGGAAGCTTACTTTTGGCCTTGGTCTAAGAAATACTGAAAATATACGAGTGTCAGCTGAAGCGATGTATTTACAAACATGAGTTAGTAATTGCCAATATAGATTCCTGAAAATAGGACCACCAATTTTGTGACAAATCATCGATTTTCTTTATAAACTTACACATCATCAATCAGTATATGGGCGCAGCCATTTTGAATTTTTACTAAATCACGTGACATCGCTGAAATGTTTATTTTTCAGAATTTAGTGAAAATTATATATTTTATTGATACGATAGGCCTCTAAATCGACTAATTCGCTTGCTAAAAAATTCCCGAAGAAAATTTGCCTAAATTCAAATTTATAGAATTTTTTTCGCAACTTCCGCCTTGCCCATTGTCGGCCATGTTTTTTATTTTGATGAACTGTCAAAGTTAGAGATCCGGTTAAAATGGTTTAAATCTAAGCCTTTAAAGCTTTCGAAATGATTTCATAAGCAGAAGAGAACTTGTTTATGATATATTGGACGAGTGTCCACATTTAAATTGTAAGTAATTTGTTTGTAGGCTTACATCTAAACAGATTTTTTTTTCGAATTTATTTTTATTTCGTGGATCGAATGGCAATGATTTTAAATGTCGTTGTTTTAATTTAGAATTTAATCACGCAATATTGTAAATCGAACGCTAATTCAAATGGTAGGTCCTTCTGACTTTTGCCTTTGTACGAAGTTAGTTCTTTTATGCACGGGAATGTTGGGGCTTAGGCCAAGTGTGGCCAAACGATTTTTTTTACACTTCGTCTTTTATGACATTGAGTCCTTCTTTTAAGTCAATTTATAGTGTTGCAAGGAGGCTTGATACTTGGTCTATCAATTTATCATAAACTTAAGTGTAGGCCAAAAAGATATTTTGGTAAGCGGTTGTTCGGAATTTTCTGCAATCTGTCTTGTATATCTTATGACATCAGTATCGGTAAATCGTCTGCTAGATCATAGACTCAGTTGTAGACAAAGCAGATCTCAGGTATTCATCTTGAAAAGTGAAACAGAAGGTTAAAATTCTGCTTTATTTATTTATTTATAGCAAGATAGGAATTTCCTGTTTTAAGATTATTACCGTTAGTATGATTCACCCAATTACACACAGGAAACCAAGATTTTGAATTTGTTGGTTTCATTTCATCATATTAGACCATATTGAATAAGTTTATTATACGTCTGTGATCTTCAGTCAACTGATATATTTTAGCCAGTGTCCCTAGTACTGAAGTTTGATCAGTAGTACTTGTTTTTATGTCTGTAACTTAAAAGATTTCCGTTGTATGTTTGAAGTAAGCATTAGTTTTTAGAATTAGCTTATTCAAGGTAATATATATTTTTAATTTGCTCATGGTTTCTTTTGGCAATGATGTTAATTTTTTTTTGTCTGTCATGTTGAAAAGTAGTGGCCACGTATTCTGGAAACGATCTTAGCGCTAGGATGTCCTGGAACCAAGTTTAGAAGATAAGAACCTAGGATATCCTAGTGCTAAGATTCGAGAATACGTGGCCTGGGCTTTAAAGGGTTATAATGTGATTTTTTGATTTGGAATGATTATCAGGGATTCTAATTTTCAGTCAGACGTCAGTGGATATTGCAATTCCACTCAAACTAGGTGATTTATAACGTCATTATCACAAAAGCTGTTATTGATCAATTAACAGTTTTGTGAACCAATATGACCCTAGTACACAGACACGCTGAAATAAGATACAAGCTGGAGTTGTATTTTGTAAAAGGGTTACTGTTACAGGATACTGGTTTTTTCTATTCATTTAGGGAACGTTACTGGTGTCATTGCTTTGCTCTTTTTGCCAGTCATGTCTGATTGTATCATCGAATGTCTTGGGAGGGATATAATTTCAAATTCTTTTTTGAATTAATTAGTATTGTTATGAAAATGTATTTTGTTTTTTTTAAATATTTGTATTGATTTACCATTCACGTCTGATAGCTTTGAAATTGTCTGATCATGATTTTAGTCTTCAGGACAATTTTTATCAAATAGGCTAGGTATTAAATTACTTAGATTTTAAAGGTTTTTAATTTAAATTCATGTTTTAAAAAAGAAATTAGTTAAATGTAAATAATATTTTGCCATAAGGAACTCTTATCAAAAAGGAAATTTGGACATCCAGTTTGTGTTAATAAATATATAGTATCACCTTGCGGGACAATGCTGTTTTAATTGATCTCTATTTGCCAGACTATTAATGTCATCTGAACTGAAAAATGGTTTTTCTAACCCCTATTAAATTTACGTAATGGCTTAACGTTGATTATATAACTATTTGTTTGGATGTTATTGCAGACCGAATCTTATGTTGAATTTAGTAAATCTATAGCAAGGCCGGATGAAATGTTGATGGACTTTGGAAAACCAGGAATTTGTCTGTAATATTTGTTGAATGGATATTTGAAAGGGATTAAGAGCAGATTTTGCTGCCTTTGTATTTCATTGTGGTTCCTGTAATTCCAAATTATGATATCACTGTTGCAAACACCATTTGACTGTATGATAATATTCAGGGTAATTTTGAATTGCTTGTGAAAAGTATTCCAGTTGACCCAGCTGTAAATGGGTACAGATAATCTGGTAAAGATCAATGCCAAGAGGTTTGGTCAAGGACCAGCTGGTAGACAGGATCCTCATTATTCCAGTTGATCCAGCTGCATGTGGCATCAATTCTAAGAGGTTTGGATCAGGATCAGCAGGTAGACAGGATCCTCGAGATTCCAAATTGTAATCCTCATGGACTTTTTTTTAACGATTTTGTTTTTAATTTTCTACTTCCAGCTTCAAGATGAAGAAAAAAGATAGTGAAGTCGTATCTACATCTTCTGGTCAATCAAGGTCCTCGGACAGTAAAAAAGGATCTACTTTTTCCATTCGAAGAATGTTCAGTCGTCCAAAGAAACGATCCAAGAGTCACAGTAGCCTAGATTCGGACTCGGCCAAATCGGAAACAAGTTTAAACGTGTCCAATGGAAGTTCGGCAGGACTATCGCTCTCGCAGCTGTCCGGATTCCAAAGTGTGTGTTACGCCCAAAAAAGGAAAGACAACATTATGGAATGTCCCGTCTGCTTAACTGATCAACCAATGGAAAACTTTCAAAATGTTTTGACGTGTCACCATCGTTCGTGTCGAGATTGTCTCAAACAGTACTTACAAATCGAGATCACAGAAAGCCGTGTCAACATCGCCTGTCCAGAGTGTGCAGAGAAATTTCATCCCAATGATATCCGACTTATACTCCAAGACGAGGCTTTGATGCAGAAGTACGAAGATTTTATGCTGCGGAGGATTTTGGCCATGGATCCTGATACCAGATGGTGTCCTGCTCCAGATTGTGGGTAAGTAATTACTCAGCAAATTCATTTGATTGGTCAGTTCCTTGAATTCAGTTTTTTTCAACCAATCAGTGATCTTAATTTCGAAACCTTAATTAGTTAAATCCAGATTTAAAATGTAATGTCCAATCAGTTTTAGTGATTGACCAATCAGATACACTAAATTTATCTTAATTTTGGCCTTTCGATGTTTGTTTTTAAGATATCCTTCTGTGAATTTAATGCAGTTTAGAGAGTTCACGTGGCTATTTATGATCTTCGTTACTTTGATATTTCAGGTTCGCTGTGATAGCTACAGGGTGTGCTGGATGTCCAAAGATCAAATGTGAACGAAACGGCTGCGATACATTCTTCTGCTATCATTGTAAACAGTATTGGCATCCTAATAAAACTTGTGATGCAGCACGGGCTGAGCGCTCACCCAACGTCCGATCAAATTCTATTTATAGTCATGAGAATGGAGCCAACAGTAAGTGCAGGGTTATTTTTTTGGGGTGAGGGATCTTGCCTTTTTTTTATTGGTTTTGCTTAAAGCATTTAGCATGTTCAATTTGTTTTGCCAATTTTCATTTGCTCAAATACTGTGAGTGGCAAATAGACTCTGCCCTGCTGGTTGCTATAGTGATATCTTTTTGGAGGAAGGTTGTAGCTTAGTTAAGTACAGTGGTTGAAACATCATTTGTCTGATTTGAGGAAAATTACAAGGTTCTAGGACCAGCTGATACACCTAATCCTCCGGAACTTAAAAAATAGTGTTTGATTGTCACAAACTTGATGCTTCTAAGATCCATTTTGAAAAGTGACATGGGTGGCTATCCCTTTTAAATTCCACTGTTTGTATTACAGATGATATCAAACCATGTCCAAGATGTGGTGCCTTCATAGTTAAAATGAATGATGGTTCCTGCAACCATATGACTTGTGCTGTCTGTGGGGCCGAGTTCTGTTGGTTATGCATGAAAGAAATTTCAGACTTACACTACTTAAGGTAAAGAATATTCCAATTTTCTTTCAGCCAAGAATTCCCATTTTTTTCCACAAAATTTCCATTTTTTTCCACAAATTTTTATTTCATGTTACCCATGAAATTTGAATTTTTCAGTCCATCCGGGTGTACATTTTGGGGTAAAAAACCGTGGAGTAGAAAGAAGAAGATACTGTGGCAACTGGGTACATTAGTAGGAGCACCAGTTGGTATATCATTGGTAGCTGGTATAGCAGTACCGGCCATGATAATTGGTATACCGGTCTGGGTGGGTCGAAAGGTTAGTACCGGTATAGAATTTTGTATGCAATCAGTCTTTCAAACATTGATTACCTTAAAGCTATCATGGTCGTACTAATGAAATTTGGAAAAATATTTCTCGCCATATTTCTTTTCTTATTGTTGAGGACTGGTTGTAGCACAGTTTGTTAGGTTGGTGGAATCTGTACATGATGTCATTTGCTTGGTAATATCAAACGAATTCTAATAGATTTTAATAATTTTTTCAATTGATTTTAACTAGTACATCACATTCTTCATTTTTTGTTTTTTTCAGATCCATTCTCGTTACGTCTGTGATTCAAAACATAAGCGCCGTCTGGCTGTAACAGGGGGAGTAACTGCCTCGATTATCGTCTCACCAATTATAGCTGGTTTAGCTGTTGGTATGTATGAAGAACTTTCATTAATCTTTTTAGATGTCTAGCGGCCATTTTTGTGATCAAAAATTATCACTGGCATTTCACCTGTAGTAAGAAAAATGTGCAGATCATTTCTTATTTTATTGGGACTATTTTTCAGGAATTGGTGTACCAATATTATTGGCGTATGTATATGGTGTAGTTCCCATATCATTGTGTCGTAGTGGTGGATGTGGCGTAACAACTTCCCAGAAGGGTGGTGTTAGGTTTGAGTTTGATGAAACAGATGCCAATGCAACAAGTAACTATGGTGCTTATGGAGGTAGGTCTTTTGATGATACTCAATTTTGAAATTTAGGCACAAGACGAACTGCCTTGTTCTGTTAGGATATGAACTTTGACCCCTATATTTGTTGAATATGGTGGACTAAGGTTCAATTCCAGCATTGGTTTGGATTGAGGTACCCGATTTTCCCTTAAAGGAGGATTCTACTTCTTCAAACAAGATGGACTTGTGTCCTTGTCGCAACAGAAATTGTTGCACACCTCTTGATGTTACTCCAAATTAAATTTTTTTTTGTTCTTTCTGTTACAAGGGTGTAAAACTCCATCTGAATTCGTTTCCTTCAGGAGATAACCACAGTGTGGAGACCGTACCACATGTAGCCAATCCTAGTATAGCACCAAGTATTGGCGAAGCCTCCGTGGGAATGACTGGTAGTCTCAGCGCCAGTGGAAGTCATCTGGACAGAGTTGGCATCCTGCGAGACGAGAGTGACCGTGATTCAACCAGCAACAGAGCTATAGCTAGCGCCAGTTTAAATGGTAGTTTGTGTGGTTCAGCTTATGCTGCTGTTATTGGTTACCAGAACAAGTAAGTGATGCTTTGGTCTTTGGACTTTGGCTAAACTAATTGGGCAGTTGTCGTAAAGTTGAAGGCTTTGGACCTCATTCTCGAAATTCGGTACTGAGTTTAAGCTCTGGAAAATGTCGGCCAAATGTGAGTCTTTTAAACCAGCCGTCCTGATGAGTTTCATGTCCAAAACACTCAACAAAATGAGTTTATTTTTTTCTTCAGACTGGAAGTCCAAGCGGATATTTCATCCACAGTGTCCTCCCATAAACGAGCAAGCTTCTCCAGTGAATCTGCTAACATCAGCCTCAGCGAGAAGTCTGCTACGGTGTCTTTTGGTGATGATGCATCCACTCGAGCTCTGGCTGGCTCCATTTCTGCTTACAGGTAAGGCTTCCAGGGGAATTTCTTTGGTCAGTGGTGCAGATGAGAAAAAAGAGCTCTAAAGCTCTTGGTTTTAGAAGTTCACAAAAGAAATACAGAAACAACCACTTTTTACAAGGATTACCCCTGAGGTTCTGAAGGATGCTTTCTAACAGCTGGTCCTTGGACAAACCTCTTGGCATTGATTTTCACCAGATTATCTGTGCCAATCTGAGTGAAGATGATCAAATGAGAACCCATGATCACATCAGCTCTTGATAAGTTCGCTTTTCTTGATATTTCATCAAGCATTCTCTGTGTAATCCCCCTTGTTTATTTGACCGTCTGCTTTTTTTTTTAAGAGATAAAGATGGCATGTCCTTATCTTCGCCACCGTTTGAAGTCCAAGCAGATGTCGAACCAGCTCGGTTACATCATGCCAAAGCTTACGAACGCTCGCCAAGTCTACGTCGCAGTGTCAGCAATTCCATTGAAGAACTGAAAGAGCCAACGCCCTCTGTGAAATCCAAAAAATGTACGCGCTTCAGCGATGAGGATTATTCTCAGAAGTCAATCACAGTTAGACACGAACCTTTGAAAATTCGAGAAAAATCCAAACTGAATGAGACCTTGAGCCAATCTTCGAGTCATTCCTCTGGTGAAAGCATCACTAGCGAAACCAGTAAATTTGTGTTGCCGGAGGTGGAAACAGACCATCCGCAGCGCTCCCTATCAACGAACAATTTAACAGAATCCACTACTTTACTTGTACATTCAGCATCGGTTTCATACAGTTGTAACAAAGTCTACAAAACAAATTCCAACGACAGTTTAGTAGACAGGGGTGAAAACCCGTCTCCACGGCGACACAGTTGTGAAATGGCGTACAAACATGGCCGTATTGCTTTCAAGGATAGAAATTAAAGTGTTAGATTTTGTTTTTTGATTTTGTTTGTGGAAGGTGTTGTAAGTGATTGATCAAAAAATACAGGATACAGGGTAAAGCTATTTTTAGACTTTGCCATTTGGTTTAATGGATACCAACTGGTATAGCTTCGGAAATGATATTTCAGGGATGAGATGCATCCAGGCCAGAGTCAGTAACCGCAAGGGGAAAGCAAACTTAGAAAATGGATTCTTAAAACAGGTCGTTTATTTCGTGAAATCTTTTTATGTTGAAACAGGCGTTGATTTCTGGCCTTTTCATTGGCTGATAATTTTCTGAACATATCTCGTATTGCCATTGCTCGTTACTTCAAAAAATTGAAAAATCTTGCAAGCGTCTTATACAGAATTGATATTATTCGGCTGTTTTCATTCTATTGCTATCGCATGAAAACTTATATTTCCAAGAAAATTTCAGTTCCTTATAATGCAGTCCTAACTTTTTCCTCAGTTCTAACTTTTCCAAGAAAAGTTATAAATTTATAAGTTATAATTTTGTACATTATAAAGATAAGTTATTTATTTTTGAAATACTAGGATTTGCTCCTTGTGCCTATTTTCCTCTAGAGTTGATTCATGGAAAAAAAATAACTGAAAATGTAAAATTTGCCAATGATCCGAGACCCTGTATGCTAAAGGCTGTGTACGTTATAGATCAAAAAAGACAAACTAAAAGTTTAGACCTGTGCTGCAGCTTTTACGAATTTTCCCCGTTGTACACTGGTATTGCTTCACTGCGTTAGAGCAATCAAATACAGCAATTTGGATACATGAATCTAATTTTTGGGAAAATAGGCCAGGATGCAAATCACGCACACCATTTCATTTGTATATAGTTGAACGTAAAGAGTTAAAAGAATATATTTTATTGAACAGTGCTAATATTGTTAAATTTTTATATTATTTTGCATTCGAAGTTGATATCCCTCCTTTTTCTTGCTTGATTTTAGCAAGGTTCCATTAATTTCCAATTTTCTCTTGCAATTTTGTCCTTTAATGCCAAAATTTGGACCATTGGCACCACTTTTTCTAAGAATTGGTTTTCAAACAGTCGTTCACAAGTTCCAATTCAAATTTTGGTACCACTTTAGCAAAAATAAATGCCAAATTTTGGAAGTTGAATGAATAAAATTGCAAAAATGGAGTCCTGAATTTTATATGTTCTGTTGTATTATGTGATCTTCCAAGTTTCCATGGAAACAGTCTGCTGTCAAAACCTTTGTTGTTATATATATATATATATTGTATAAAAAGCCATGTCAGCCTTGCTCCTTTAATAAAATCACACTGATGCTTCAAAACTCCTTATTTAAAGGGGCATACCCCTTCAATTTGTACATGGATGGGAGAAGTGTCAAACCAATTGAAGGAAGGGTACTATACTTTGGTACTTTGTGGTACAGGATGTATAGTTTTAAGGTCCCTCGGTAGATGAGCCTGCCTAAACTTGAGCCGGAAAGTAATCATGTGATGATCCCCGCTAGTCCAATGGTCTGCCCCTAAGTCCTCATCTGGTACTATGATTAAAGATGCCTCTAGACAGAACAGTTCTCTGGTACCCCTGGTAGCATCCAATGGTTGGACTCCTCAGTCCTTCTCTAGTTCAATGCACTATGATTACATATGCCTCCAGACTGATCAGTCCTCTGATCCAGGGAGACATTTATGAATGTGCAACTGCAAACCGGGTAGACTTAGCTCTAAAACAAATGTGGACCCTCTTAAAATGAAATGGTTCTTCAGGACCTACTTTTTGCATCTGGGGTAATCCTGGAAAGATCAATGCAAGAGGTTTGTCTGAGGACCAGATGGTAGAAAGGACCTTCATTATGCTAGTCAACCCAGCAGTTAATGGGAACAGATAATCCAAAAGAACAAAGCCACAAGGTTGACCAAGGACCAGCTGGTAGACGCAATCCTCTGGAACCCAAGTTTTTACTTTTGCTAAAAAATGGTTGCTTCTGTCTTTCACCAGGATTTTTGGACGAAAACAAAATGGTAAGGTTACATTTCAATAATTTAATTCTTCTACTATAATAAGACACAAAAGTGAATTACTAATTAATTTTTGACAAGCTCAAAATAAGTGAAACCTCCCCTAGCATTGAGTGTCCCGCAGATGTTGAAGGTCCTCGGTCAAAAAGTTTCCTGAATTCCTTATGGAGCCGTGGTGCCTCTGAGTTAGACGCTTGTTCGCTAGCTTGAAGGTCCATGGTTCAATCCCGGCATAGGTCGAGATAAAACCTTTGGATTTTTCAACCCGGTTTCCCCCTGTCAGTGATGCAGGGAAGAGGGGCTGACATGGAAAAAGCATCTAGTTGATCAGATGGGACAATAAACCGAGGCCCTGTGTGCTACAGGCTGTGCACGTTAAAGATCCCTCGACAGTTGGAAAGCGAAAAAGAGACGACTAATGCCGCTGTCCTGGTAAAATTTCCCTCATTGTACACAGCATCAATTCCTTATGTTATTCTTATTTTGAGCTTATCACAGTTATAATATCGTGATATATAAGTTAAAAGTTATCACAAAAGTTAAATTTTATCACTATTTGATGCAGGGCTTGTTTTTAACCAGTCACGTCTGAATACAGAATAAATATGACTTATAAATATTTCAATGCTTCCGGTGGTGGGCACAACTGTGTTGGAATTTAATATATATAAAAAAAAAACCATGTGGATTCTCCAAAAGGGAGTAAAAACTCAGTTGAAGAGTGACATAAGGTGATAGTAGGTTAAGCATGACTTATCCAAGAGAAGCTCAAATTCGATTGTTTTAAACTGAGCTCATAGAGCTTAAAGCTTACTGGTCAAGGAATGACCTCCAGGACAGTCTTGTCCACCAGTAGAGTCATCAGTATATTGGTGTGTTATAAATACACCAAATAAACAATATTAAAAAGTGAAAAAATAAAAAAAAAAATTGCAAACAACAAAATTTGCATGTGAACACATTTAAATTAATTTGTTCCCTGGTTCACTCATACAACCAATTTTCCACACACATTATTCCACACACATCACACCCAAAGTTTCCAAATTCTCCGAAAGGATTTCAACCTCACGGCAATTCTTTCTTTCCGTGTTTAAACACTGAGTCCATGAATTGAGTAAACCAGCGATACATGTAAGTCGAGTGACGGGGCATGATTCCCTCCAAAAATCCAATGTGGCCGCCGTGTGAGGTCACCACTAATGCTACGTTGTCATGGTTATTTGCATCTTTTACAGGGATTGCTGAAATTGAAAAATGAAAGTAGATTAGTTGAACGCTTTCTTGTCAGGAGAGTGGAAGTGATTAATGAAGATTCCATAGGTATGTTAGTCTCATTATTTTTAAAGCTTCAATTAAGCTTACAATTTCATTTCAATCAAGCTTACAATTTCATTTCAATTAAGCTTACAATTTCATTTCAATCAAGCTTACAATTTCATTTCAATTAAGCTTACAATTTCATTTCAATCAAGCTTACAATTTCATTTCAATCAAGCTTACAATTTCATTTCAATCAAGCTTACAATTTCATTTCAATTAAGCATACAATTTCATTTCAATTAAGCTTACAATTTCATTTCAATCAAGCTTACAATTTCATTTCAATCAAGCTTACAATTTCATTTCAATCAAGCTTACAATTTCATTTCAATTAAGCTTACAATTTCATTTCAATCAAGCTTACAATTTCATTTCAATCAAGCTTACAATTTCATTTCATTTCAATGAAGCAGACAATTTCATTCCATACGTACCATGTGAGGGCGAAAAGGGGTCATCCGAAGCATTTAAACATAGAACAGGAACTTCTATAGCATGAACTTTCTCATGGATACAGGCTTCTTGATAATACTCTTCCCATGATGAATACCCGAACATCTTAGCTGTAAATCTATCATCAAACTCACGAATTGTTGAACTCTGAAAAATTTAACACAAGCGAATGAATATGTTCCATATCAAAATGATGCTCACCTTTAAATCATGTTCCTTTATCAAAATGATGCTCACAATTCAAAATGATGCTCACAAATTAAAATGATGCTCACAAATCAAAATGATGCTCACCTTTAAAACATGTTCCATATCAAAATGATGTTCGAATAAATCTATATCCTTCTTGACCAATTCCGTTAAAGACTGGGCTAAAGTCCGGTTAAATAAATATAAATTGATAGGTCTCTCTAGTTCCAGGACAGATTCAAAGACATTCCATGCCACAGACATACAGATTCCTGCAACTAGTTTACAATCTTTACCCGTTTTAGCTAAATAGTTGAATAATATCATGCTGGAAAAGAAAAATTCAGGCAAATTAATTAATTTTGGAGACCTGAAGATGGTCTTTTGAAATGAAATAGAGTTTTACATCCCCAGGTTCTGCTTCTAATTGGGCTATGAAAGTCCGACAATGCTTTGTAGTGTACAATGAGGGAAATTTATCAAAACAAAACCACCAACTTTGGTTTTGCAATTTCCAACTGTCAAGGGATCTTTAACATGCATTGCCTGAAGCACACTGACAGGGCCTTGGTTTATTGTCCCATCTGAACGACTAGAATCTTTCCATGTCAGCCACAGGGACCTGCATCACTGACAATAGGGAAAAGGGGTGACAAATCCAAAGGTATCATCTGGACCTATGCTGAGAGGGTGAAAGGATGAAAAGACCAACCTACCCTCCTAAAGACACACCTGTACCCATTAGGGGTGCCTGTGGATATTTAACTTTGATATGATTTACCACAAATGTCAGATCTTCAGTATTAGCAGCACAATATGTTCTTGGAGTCTAAAAATAAATTCCAAAAAACTTAATAACATCTTGGACTTATGAGGAACCTTTCTACCAGCTGATCCTTGACTAAACCTCTTGACATTGATTATCTGTACCCATTTACAGCTGGGTTGACTGTTATAAAGAGGGTCCTTTCTACCAGCTGATCCTTGACCAAACCTCTTGGTGTTGATCTTTCCCAGATTATCTGTACCCATTTACAGCTGGGTTGACTGGAATAATGAAGATCCTATCTACCAGCTGATCCTTGACCAAACCTCTTGGTGTTGATCTTTCCTAGATTAAATGTACCCATTTACAGCTGGGTCAACTGGAATAATGAGGAAAGATGACTTATTCATGGTCACAAGACTTACACACGCTGCTCAAGATAAGAACCCACAAACACCATGACAACCTAAGAACTTCCAATATCTCCACAAAGGAATTTATCAGCAAGGTAACTCATTGATCAGGAGATGAAGAATATACTTACAAGTAATCTGGAACCACCAACTCCTCTATTGTTGAACACAACACATCTAAAAATTAAACAAGATTTCATTGGAGTCAAGTATTGAAACTTTCATCAATAATTTAACTGACAACAGGCTGCTGACACATGTTTCAGATATACAATCCTCATCAGGACAGCTAGATTTGGAACTTGGGGTTGAATTTGCATTATAGGACTGTAGGTATGGGCAAATTAAGAGACCTCGCTGAACTGTAGCTTAAGCCCTTACTAACCTGTACCCCAAATTCATTGCGTTGGTTACCATATGAAGGATATATGATTCGTTACTGCTACCTGGAAAAGATCACCAAATTGTTTTTTAAATGAAATGGAGTTTTACATCCAACTTTTTCTGTTTAATGGCTGTGCTTATTATCAGATTAAAATTAAAACCTCCAAGCAATTTAAATCTTACAATTTTCCTTCAAAACTTAAGTTCATTTTTAAAGAGTATTTCAGCACATTTGATGCAAGTTCAGTAATGACATTTTTGACATATAGTATTTGTAAAACAAGGGCAATAACTCTTAAGATGATGAACTGGAATGCATATAGGTCTACGAGTATTTGACACCCCTTAATCTTAAATAGACTGTCCAACGCATGAGCTTTTCCTTTCAATTTAATGCCAACTATGGTTGTTTGGACACGTCCATTTGCTAAAAGAGGGTGGTGAGTCTAGATGCGTGACTTTTGTTTCCATTAGTTCATAGGTCAGAGAAAGTACCCACCTGTCAGTCCCGGTAATAATAGAATGGTGGGACGAACTTCTTTATTGAATATTTGATTACTATCGTTCTCCGCCCAATCTAACTTAATTTGTCCCCCATCAGCCGTATAGATTAACTCACTGAATGAATGAATGAATGAATTAATGAATGAATGAATTAATGAATTAATGAATGAACGAATGAACAAGCCAACAAAAGGATGAATGAAAGATCATATGGCAGTGGGAAGCACAATATCTTCTGAGTTGTGATTGACATCTTTGGCTCTATCCTTTGCATGTGCAGGGTCAGAACTCTCACTCAAATTATCTTAATCCAGGATAGAATGCTGTGCAAATTGTGGACTCTCATGAAGTGAAGCTGAATTGAAAATCACAATTGCGCATTGGAAGTTGGTGTTCTAGACTCTAGAGAATGGCTTCATGTCTTTAAATATTTGCTGTATCAGCTGATAGATCTCATTTTCAGCCATCTGTGTCTCTTTTCAAGTTATATCATATTGCTTCTTACCTTCTGTATTGCACATTGGGCTTGGATTGAAGCAAAACTCTCAAAATAGTTTGCAGACGAGATTCAATGCACCAAAAAGTTGGCCAGTATTTTTCTGTAGATATTGGACAATGTTTCTTAATGAAGCCCAACAATTTCTGATCTTTACAGGCTATCAATGGCTTCTGTAATTAGAATTGGAATGGAGTTTTACACCCAAAGTAATTAGCTTAGCATGGAAAATAATTAATATTTACTTTACCAGCTGATAAACCCAAATTTAAAAGAAGATAATATTTCGAACCCCTTTAAGTTCAATGGCTCTTCACTTTGCCCTTCAAGATAACACCAATTTTTTTACTCTAGGGTACATATGATATATGCATTTCTTTTTAGGGATCATTCTAAATGCCCCACCCCACCCGTTGACTTACCTTCACGACGCTGCATAAATAATATGTTGTATAGATCAATCCGGCCGCCGTTACAAACGGAACGCTGGGATTTTCCTTGCAGAAGTTTAGCGTATTTTGTAAATAAGTTATCATACTTGACGGTCTGAGGTATCGCAAAATCGTCTGATAAAGCGATTTGATTAAATTTGACGGATTTTCTGACATTTCAACGGACTTTGCCCAGATCACCGACCTCTTCCATTAATGTTTCAACCTTGACCTGATTTGGACGGACTCATTATAGCGGTGGTGTTAGGTACATAAATATGGACATTTCTCAGTTCTTTTGCATAGATTTTAACAACATATTTTGTTTTTGCTGATTTCATATTGATTATTCAAGAAAATGCTCTTTGGTGGATTAAAATTATAAAATTATCTCAGAATTAAGTTGTCAATGACTTAATCCACCCTTTGGCAAAAATGAATTGACCCTTTGCGTCATTTCCGGCAATCCCTGTTGTGTCGATTATCCAGAGAATTTCTTGTCACGATTTCCCTTGCTTGATAATCAAAGCTACAAAAATGGCGTCGGGAGCACTGTTCGGAAATGCAAGCGGTCGAAGTCAAAGTAAGAATTTGGTGGAATTTAGGGCCGGAAAGATGACCCTGAAGGATAAAATGGTGACCCCGGACAAGAGGAAGGGTTTAGTGTATGTCCACCAGTCGGACGATTCGTTGATGCACTTTTGTTGGAAAGATAGAACGACCGGTACAGTCGAAGATGTAAGATTTTGATGTTCAAATTTGCTATTTCATTGGAAATGCCTTCCCTATAATAAACGATTGCCCTTCTGTTATTGATATGACTCTGGACTTTATAGTTAATGCCAGTTTATTCCCATGACCCATTCTTTGCTAGGCCTAAAGATAGCCTTATGAAATATTAATAATGTGCTGCCAAACAATGCCATGCAAGACACTCACAAGTTTGGCAAAACCATTTGATATTTTTTGTTTTTCTTTGCAGGATTTGATCATTTTCCCTGAAGACATCGAGTTCAAACATTTACCTCAATGTACAACAGGACGAGCCTATCTTCTCAAGTTCAAGAACTCAGCAAGGAAGTACTTCTTCTGGCTTCAGGTGGGTGTTCAACCATCTATGGTTTGAAAAATATTGCAATCATAAAACTAGTTGCAGGTGTCAAAAGAAGAATGAATTTGCCTGCCTTATTTCCTACACGCATTGTTGTTGACTGCAGGACACTCTTGTAGAGCAATTCATTCTCTTAAAGAACTTGCTGATCAGGAGCTATCAGAAATTGAAGCTGTTGCCAGTAAGATACTAATTAGGCTTTCTTGTTCTCTAGGAGCCCAAATCTGACAAAGATGAAGAAAATTGTCGTAAAGTTAACGATTTCTTGAATCATCCTCCAACTCCAGGATCCAACAGAGGAACTGGCAGCAGTGGAATACCTTCAGACCTGTCTGGACTAGGTAGGTACCGGTACCCAAAATCAAGATCTCCCAAAAAAATTTCAAACAATTGGAATCATTTGGGTTGAGTTTGATGGTTAGAAAACACCTGGTGTTTTAATCTTCAGAATGGATAGGTGGATAATTTTTCAGCTGATATTGATGAAACTGCGTTGAAAATATTAAACCTGGGATGAGTTCGAATTTGATAAAAATTTGTATGTTGTTGTATTTCATTCCAGGTGACACTGAGCTACAGAATGTATTGAGTGGCATGAGTCAACAGCAGCTGATGCAGCTTCTGGGCGGAGGATTGGGTATGGGAGGAGGTGGAGCAGGTGGACTCTCATCTCTGTTAGGACGACCCAGTAGTGCCCAATCTACTGCTTCTGAACCGTAAGTCTGGAATGTTTGCTTCTTTGGTTTGGGCAGGCAGTTGGGTAAATCTAGGTCTTAGTCATTTCTTGACCTGCTTCAGAATTGATAGTCTTCATTCGCAAGAGTCTAGGATAACTTTCCAACCCTAACTTGTTAATAGACTCTTCAACAATATTGAACTATAGAGATATAAACCGGAGAGTTCACTGATAAAATGAGGGGTGTTTTGTAGCCAGTTGTGTTCTGGACAAATGTGCCAGCAATAATCCATTACAAATTTTCTGTTTCAGTGCTGGTAGAACATCCAGTTCTAGAACGACAACTACAGGTGATACAACACCAACAACATCCAGACCAGCGACAGCAACAGCAGCTACGACTCAATCTTCAACAGCTACAACTGACAGTGCTAGACAGCAGATACAGCTGAGTGATCTGCAGAATATTCTTTCCACCATTAATGGTGAGCTTAGATCTTTTCTTTGTACTTACCGGGCTCGCTGCTTTGGCAAAATTTCCCTCATTGCACACTATTTTATTTTGATTAGCACCAACATGGTCTGACCCTACATCCTGGCTTCCCAAAGAACATGTGTCCAAAGTCCAATTTTGCTGAGATATAAGCTTTTGGGTCTGGAAACAAAATGGGTCTTAAAAGATTCAAATTAGAGGTAATTGTTTTCTTTTTCGCTCTTTTTCAGTGCCACCCACAGAAGAGAAAGAACGTAAGTGGAATTCTTTCTTTCGTGTTTTGAGCTGGTCACAATATTGTGCCACAAAGAAATGCTTTCGGTTGGATGCTTGTACATGATAAGCTTAGAAGTGTCTTAGTGGAAGTCCAATCTATGAGAAAAAAATGGAAGGTGATATCGTTGCACATACACTTGTACACATTTGAATTCGTTCTTCTTTCAGGATTGGACCTAACCCAGGCTTTGAATCCAGAATCCATGGTTCCAATATTGGCAAATCCTGAGATTCAGGCTCAGTTGGTGCCACATTTACCTGAAGGTGAAAGCCTGCCCAAGACTGAAGCTGAACTACGCAATACCATCTCCTCTCCCCAATTCCAACAAGTAAGTCTTGGTTTCTACCTCATTAGGACTACCAGCTCATTGTTTCCTGTCAGTGGGTGAGCATCAGGAACAACGTAGCTGCTCATGCCCAAAGACTTCTAACTAACCTGTCTCGAGCCAGTCTAAATCTAGCTTTACAGTGATAGGAAGACCTGGTGTGAATTCTACGTGGCATATTTCAGCTCATGAGAGGTCTTAGTTAAGGACGAAGCTAGAGCTCATTCAGTTCTGCTTAATATCTTCATAGATAACTAATAAATATTGTTCAATCTTTCCTTTCCAGGCTTTGAGCTCATTCAGTGCTGCTCTACAATCTGGAGAACTTGGATCCTTGATGAATCAGTTTGGACTTGGAGATGATGTTGCTAATGCTGCAGCTCAAGGAGGTAGTCATGACAATTTTGTTGTTGTGGGCAAGCTGGCTTCTTTACAAGACCCAGTTTTTGTACAATCCCTTGGCAGTTGGAAATCCATAACCAGAAAGACACTGCCACTGTTCTAGAAAAGTTTCCCTAATTGCACACATGAGAATAGTCATCATGTAGGACATACAACTCCATTTTATTTAATTTCTTTTAGATATGGAGGCGTTTGTAAAAGCAATGCAAGAAAGGATGAAGAAAGATGAAAATAAGGAAGGAGAAGAGAAAATGGAACATTAAAAACAAACGTTTGAAGACACAACAAAAACCAATGATTGTGGATGAAAACTTTTCTCCCTTGAGGATCTAGGATCTCCTTTGAGGATCTAGGATCTTCTTTGAGGATCTCGGATCTCCTTTGAGGATCTTAGACCGATGTTCACTTTCGGTAAATAAAGATTTATAGCTGAAAGCTTTTTTATTTTTGGGATTTATTTCATGGTATCTCGTGTAGGATCTACTGAGGATGTCGGTCCTGCTTCTGCTTGAGAATCTATGATCACTTTTAGGTTCTAGGCTCTATGTCCTTGGAGATCTAGGAACTTGAGAATCTAGGATATTCTTGTGGATCTATGGGATCTCCCTTGAGGATCTGGGATCTCCCTTGAGCATCTGGGATCTCCATGGAGGATCCAGGATCTCCTGTGAGGATCTAGGATCTTCTTGAGGGTCCAGGAAACTTGAGGTTCAAGGAAACTTGAGGTTCAAGGATCTCCTTTGAAGATCTGGGATCTCTTTTAAGAATCTAGGATCGTCTTGAGGATCTAGGATATTTTTTGAAAATTTAGGATCTCCTTTGAGGATCTAGTATCTCCCTTGAGGATCTAGGATCTCCTTCGAGGATCTAGGATCTCCTTTGAGGATCTAGGATCTCCTTCGAGGATCTAGGAACTCCCTCGAGGATCTTGAATCTCCTTCGAGGATCTAGGATCTCCCTCAAGGGTCAAAGATCTCCCTCGATGATCCAGGATCTCCCTCGAGGATCCAGGATCTCCCTTAGCTCCCTCGAGGGTCCAGGAAACTTGAGGTTCAAGGAAACTTGAGGTTCAAGGATCTCCTTTAGC